TCCATAGCACCCAGCCGTTGAGAATTTCAAGGTGTGTCACGGTACCGAAGGCTTTGAAAGCGGAAAGGAGACCAACTGGGTGTAACGGAAAATCAGAGATATACTAAGTGATAACAATATTAGTGGGAGGTCATCTAAGGGCTGTAGCAGAGGATTTGTTGTTTCATTCTTGAAGTCCGATGGCGCGATCCATAATGCAAGATTGGTGGTACCACTGCACAGGGAAATGATCTCTGCAGCTGTACTCAGAAGTACATCGCCCTCGATACACAATGATTTCACTGCCCCTCGAGCGAAGTCACAGTGACGGGACCGAATATAAAGTGATGAAAGAAAGGAGATAGCAATGCTTTCACTTGACAGAACAATTTTTCGGTAAAGTAGTCTTTCGATCCTACAGCAGTATTCAGTATCATTGTGCTCTGCCTCAACCCTTCGGAATTGCTCACCAGTAATGCACCCTCCGTGAAACAAACAAGAACGAGTAAGCTTGCTGCATGCAATCAATAGCAAGAGTGATGATCTCTCTCTCAAGTTCGATGGGAAGCGCTGGCACTGGCATGAAGGGTTTGAACACTCGGCCAGTGTGGCGGTGCAGCGGCTGCAACCCAAGTCGCGCCGAGCCGAAGTTCATTCACTATATTATTGCCTGAGATTACTTAATTTTGTCAAACCAACTTACTATTCTGCTCGCCTGGTCACGAAGCTATGCTCCATTCGTCGATTTCATTCCTGCGTATTGATTGCGCAGTCCTGGACCGCGCAAAGCAGGATATGGAGTGCATAGAGGTAGCCTGTGCTAGGTACAGCAGGGCATTTGGCACTGGACTGGTAATCAATCCGCGCAAATCGTAGCCTGAGAAATTCAATTACGTTTCTTCAACAGTACTAATTCAAGTTAAACTAAACCAACGGTGGCCTAGTGAGTGATGAAAGGAGATCTTGCGTGAAATGCTTTCCATCGAGCTTGAATATACATCGTGATAGTATAGGTTTACAACAGAAGGTATCATAAATGATAAGTTTACTTGGCACTGCCCTCCAGAACGCGATAAATCTTGGACAGCACCTCTGTTTGCCTGTCAATGGCAGCTTCGAGGCGTTTCGCAACATTAAGTACTGAGGTTTCATGAGTCATGCTTCTATTCAATTTAAAGGCCTTTCCCAGCTTCCTACACTTTGGCACTTCAAGTGCTGGTGCTACATTCAATATAGCCATTAACAACTGATGTGAAAAACGAAATGATGAGTCCAGCTCACCGTGGGGTCAGACTCAGAGGCTGTCTTTGACCTCTTGCGCTTCAGGGGCCAAATTTCCGAGTCACCGCTACGGCCTCCAACTTGTGTGTTCGAACTATCGACATCCTGGAACAATAACCATTAGAATCGAGTGTATAATATCTTGAGGTGGCCACTGTACCTTTTCAAGTCCCTGGTGTTCGGATACATCTGCAAGTGCATCTGCGTGCAAGTGCAGGTTCAACTTTCGTGCGACGGTAGCACCCGCAGCTGTATACAGGGGCGCCTTGGCCATGCGCTTGGCCACCGAGGCACGGCTCAAAGTCATGGCTATGTGGAGTGCTGGATGTCGTAGTGTCGCCTTCACACAACTCCTCAAATCTAGCAATTATGAGGAGAGCTTCAGCGTCGGCCAAGCCAGATGGGTGTGAGTCCGAGTCAGTACTGGTATAGGACATGGCGAAATGTGGTTATCCAGGCTCTTGTGATGGAAATGTGAATCAGGTCGATCGTTTCATTTCTCCACTCCCTAGTTTAAACATATTTTGAGAACCGTATTTCATATCAATGATAGATCTAACTAGTAATCTGGTTCCACTCACTAGCGTAAGTAAGATTAGGTGGTACCGGCCGGATCATGTTACAATTGACGAGGAGCTTGGAGCCGTCAAGCACTTTAGACTGTCCTGTAAGGAGTTATAAAAATTTTCAATATTACATAGAAACAACCCTGGAGTGCGGCGGAGCTTCGTGACGTCAAGTTAGAGTTGCATTTTACCCTGAAATATTGTCCCTAGATATCAGCATCAATGAACACGGTGCCGAACATGAGACTTTGAGCCATTGTTGGCTAGCTTCAGATCTGTTTGGCAACGACGGTGGGAGCATCAGATTCCAAGATTTGTTACAATGCGGACCAAAAGGATTTCTGTAACGGGGCATGGGTCTAAGTCCTGAAAACATGACATGATACAAATACCCTTACACTTGACGGAGTAAGCAAGAAACATGTCATCTGACTACAACGCTCATAATAACTCTCACCCTTCTGACTTCAATGATGGGGCTGAGGTGATCTTAACGGACTAACTTCAGGTTGGAGGACCGCTCAGGGAGGTCTACTCCAGAAAGTCATATCGGATGCCATGGGTGTGGCCATGGCCAAAGTGTCCCTGCGTATTCCTGTAGATGCTATCAGTGGAATTTCGGACAGTTCAAATCCGAACCTTCATCTCCAGACAATGAGGAGGCATTTCAGCTCGCAGATGAGTTTCGAGCGGAACAACCAGAGCTAGTATGTGTCTGTAGATTATAGGCGGCCATTGTAACAGCTCTAATTTCAACAGTTGGAAGCTCAAGGTGGCAATCACAACAATGCTGATGCACCTCGTTCAAAGCGAAAGTGGTCTGAAGATGATGGGGTGAGTACCCAGCTCAATTTTTCGACTGACACACTCACTTTGGCCAGGGCGTGACTAACATGGGGGCAACATCAGTACCTATTGTTGAGCTTCCGCCTAAAAAACGTACGAAGGTTGAAAGAAAATTCGAGTCATTTGAAGGGGAATTGCTAGCCAAGATGGCGGCCGTCATGCAGGAAGTCGTGGGAGTGCGTGATGCTGTCAGTAGGATCGGAACAATCGTTGATAGGCAGCAGAGTTCTTCTTGAAGTCTGTAACGCTATTGAGAACCATGGGATGTAACTTGTTGTATTAACTCTTCATACCAGTGTAATAACAAACAGTATCGTCCTTGATGATTGCTGAGCAGTGCTGCCTACTAGTAAAGGTTCAACATCACAAACATTGAGATCACGTGACAATTTGCTTAGCCAACCTACCTGTGATCTTGCTTCGATTTTTGATTTGCACCGTGACCACGATGCACTCTTAGTGCCGCGTTTCAAGTGAGTACTCATTGTTTGAAACAGACCATTTGTAATGTTCACTACTTTGATTATTCTCATACTGCAACGCACGACAGATTTTATCCAGAAATGCATCGGTCGCACATCAGCTTGTTAATTAACTGGTGCGTGACGTTGCAACACTACTCGATATGCGATCTGTCCAACCTCGAGCCATAGCGTATGTGTCTGCTCAGGTACAGACTATTTAACTCAATATTTGTGTACTTTGCTGATTAGAGGGCCCAGCATTGTCAAACTCAGGATCTTGGCGCATTGTTGATGACGAATTCAACAATCAAGAATTTTATCACAACATCATTGACTATCTGGAGCTTCCTCCAACGCCAGAAGCAGCGAAAGAAAGTCGATGATCTCTTACTTTGGTGGAATCAGTAAGTAGCTTTCGCGTCTTTACACTGCCTTTGATTGAGTCACAGCGGGAATTGATCAAGACATGTCTTGCACCCAAGCACGAATCTGCTGATTGGATGAACAAGTTCTTGGACCGTCTCTGGCTCATTCATGAGCCTGTTCTTTCTGCTACTATCGTCGCCTTTGTTGATCAGATGCTGAGCACCACTATTCCTGCCTTCTCGGACTCCTTGCGCCTCACAACCTTCACCCTTGGGACGAAGACTTCCCGCATAGACAAAGTTAGGACATCTCCAAGGACTGCTAATGATGTCGCCATGATGGTTTGGGGAATATCATTCATTCCCAACCATGTATCTGACATAACTCTCTGTAAAGCAGCGCAACCCCAAAATTGTTCAATCTGTTCGCCTGGGCAAAGGTCTTGCAACAGCCTTCATGCCGGTGAGTCGCTTGGACTCGACATAGCCGCATAAGTAACAATATAATGAATTATCATCGACTCGAGCTTACCCTATCATCAGATTCCTGGTTTACAGACTTTCATTTCGGGATATAATTCACTACACGCTCAGTTCCCGTGAGGTACGAGCAGTCCAAGCTAGGTGCTGCGAATTTCACAAATCAAGTCTGCTGGAAACGGCGTCTGACGTTAGTCTCGAATTCTCCCCCAACACCTCTGATCATTAAATTTCACCCCATTCAAGCGTGTCGTTCACTGATACAATGGAAGATCCGCCAATTCTTCGACTAGTCATACATGTACGGGCAGCCCCAGAAAAGTCCGTGTGGTGTTACATCGTGTATAGTAAGTGTGTCCAATATGTGCAGCCGCTAAACCTCATTCTCAGCCTCTTCATGCGTATGACCGAACATTCGTAAGTCAACGCAGAATTTTATAGTTGCCGGCTCACCTGGAAGCGCTAACGCGCACCTCTAAGTCCCAGCAGATATTCCAACTCTTGCATCTCCAGCTCAAACATCCGGCGTTCCCTAGCGATCCAAAGGACCATCATCGCGCGCGCTTCATCTGTCCAGGCCGGAGGCAGAGGGTAGGGTTGAAACGGTAAGTGGGGTTGTAGATTTGTTGGTGCACACGCGGATTCGCGCAGTGTCCCATCTCACATACATCATTTCCTTCAGATATGTTAGAATTTTAATTGCTGAATGAGTCGCTACTTACGATTTGCCTTTCAGTCAACGTAAATGTCACGTCGCGAGGCCTCGGCGCGACTCGCAGAAGGTGCTCTGGGATCTGTAGAACGTTAGTGAGTAGTAGTTAGAACTTCCTCAACATACCTGGCGACCTTGGTTTCCGTCTCCGTCCCCATCTCGATTCCCGCCCCCGTTAGCGTAGTTGTTCATTATTGTACTAGAGCTACTGGTAGATATAAAATTGAATTGAGAACGAGTTAATGCTTACCTGCGTTGTTGGAATTATCGCGTATCGTAAACACGTCCCGATTTGGACAAATGTATGTCACCGGCATTTTCCGGAATGATGACGCTCAGTTCTAATTCTAAAAGCTACAAGGGCTCATCAATGCATCGTTTAACAGCTGTATGTGCTATCCTAAGTCTACTAACAAGCTCTCATGTTTTATTTTTTCACTATTATCATTTGTTACTTACTCATAGTCACACTACTACTTGGCAGGGGGTGACCTGCTGCTGGCCTTGGACGTTTGGACATGCGGGGGAATCACGTGACTAGTTTTTCTTACGGTGTTAACACTGTTATTGTGAGTTGTTTTGTTGATGTCCGTTGCACTTAACGTTCGCCAATCCCTCTGGCGCATATGAAGAGGCAATGAAATTTATTTATACTCTCAAGGATCTGACGGCCTTTCTGCTACTCGCTGCTTTTATCAGTATGTCCCTCAGATGTGGGGGCGAATGCAGCCGATCATTCTCAGCACCAAGAACTTTGACCCGTCACCGTCAGGACTGCAAGCACTGGCAGAAGCAGCTGAGTGTACAGTCACAACACTTCAAACGCATCTCTGCGTCTCTGCAAGACTCGGAAGCTCCTGCTGCAAAGAAAGTAAAACTTAGTACCCAAGTAAGTGCATTCGTTGTACACCATATCCCGATCTCTGCTCATTTGGATATTAGCCAACTTCTGCCTCGAGCTCTCCACCGATGAATACCATGTCATCCGATTCATCCGATATTCCCATATCTCCCTCCAACATCCATGATCCAGTAGCGTCCTCATCTAACACATCCGCATTTGACATCCCGCAAGAGGAGCAGCGTGCATCAACTTGCATTCCAAACCTGGAGGTGCAGCCAGAAAGTGGAGCTGGCCGTCCCTCTCGATCGCATCGGCTGCCTTTACGATTCAGGGATGAACTTCCGGTACCCCCACCTGCCATTCCAGAACCACCTCCAGCACCCATTCGTCGGGTAGTTCTTTACGTTTTCGATTCTTTTCGTACATCTCTTAATAAATTTGGGATTGGAAGGGACTATCGCCACCGACCATCGTATGACCCGGATGCCTTTGTCTCCGTTGACCAGCTATCTAATATCACGTCTGATCCCCCTCCCCTCAATGAGCAAGCTAATCATTCTGGGAGCCCACCTCCGTCGCAGTCACCCCCTTGGCCATGGAGAAATATGAGTATATGGCGCTTGATGTCTTGGAAGATGACTAGTAATAGCGGTCTGACGTCTGAAACGCAAGTAACCCGCCTCGTTCGCGAAGTATTGAAGGCCAAGGATTTCAGTCTGGATGATGTGCCCGATGATTTCAATACGCATACAGAAATGATGCGCTTCGATGCCTCTGAAGCAACACTGGACCCCGACGATATCTTTCGAAGAGACGGCTGGAGGGAATCGACGGCAGAAATACTAGTGCCAACCAGGGAGAGAAATGCAGATGGGAATGGGCAACCATTTACTGTCCCAGGTTTTCATCATCGGCCGCTTGTGGCTGTTATTCGTGCGGCCTTCTCAGAGGCATCATCACGCTGGTTTCACCTCACCCCTTTCAAACGCTTTTGGAAATCGCCGTTGACCGGCCGAGAACAACGTGTATATGATGAGCTCTACACATCGGACGCCTGGAATAAGGCCCACGACGAGCTGCAGAAACAAAAGAGGGACGATGGGTGTAAACTGGAACGGGTGATTGCTGGACTCATGTTCTGGTCCGATGCGACACACCTGACTCAGTTTGGGAATGCTTCCGCATGGCCAATCTATCTTTTTTTTGGAAACCGATCGAAATATGCCCGTGCCTGTCCGACTACCAATGCTTGTTACCCCATCGCATTTATCCCTTCTGTAAGTACTCATCCCATCGGAAGACCAGTGAGTACCCTAACACGATTTGTCTCTAGCTACCGGAATCTATTGTGGGTTTCATCCGCAAATTTATCAACAACAAGAGCATCAACGACGTCCTCGCCCATTGCAAACGGGAATTGTTCCATGCATTTTGGCGCATTTTATTGGATGATGAATTTGTAGATGCGTATAGGAATGGGATCGTGATTAAATGCCACGATGGAGTGTTTCGACGAGTTTTTCCAAGGATTTTTACTTACTCCGCGGATTATCCAGAGAAGTGAGCTCATTTATCCCCTCAACTTCCACACATTAACTAACAACCTTCAAATAGAGTACTTCTCGCTGCTATTCGCGACAAAGGAGATTGCCCATGTCCCCGGTGTTTTGTGCCGAAATCATGCTTCGATCGGCTCGGTCTCAAGGCTGATATGTTGGCGCGCATCAACAGTGTGCGCTTATACCTCAGAGACAAGATTGTTGTGGCACGTGAGGCTATATACACGCTAGGTGCTCCAATCAAAGGTGCTGCGGCCGAGCGTCTTCTGAAGTCATTCTCACTGGTACCAACATTAGTGAGTGCACTTATCTATAGGACCTTTTGAATGATTTAAGTATACTTTTCGCTTAGAATACCTTCACTGAGCGACTTGGGCCTGTAGGCCTTGACTTCTTTCCTATACTCGTCGTCGATCTCTTGCATGAATTTGAGCTCGGAGTGTTCAAATCCGTCCTCAAGCATCTTATAAGGCTACTTTATGCCATCAATCACGAATCAGTAGCTTTACTGAACGAACGGTACGTATTAATTAGCATAGCAGCCTCATCTGACGTTGACAATCCCTCAATATTAAGTTTTCGCTTAATTCCGTCATTTGGAAAAGGTGCCATCCGATGTTTCCCTTCAAATGTGTCCGATATGAAGCAAAGAGCTGCACGACATTTCGAGGATGTCTTACAGGTGAGTTTGATCTCTACTGTTCTTGAATTATCATAATCTGATGATCGACCAGTGTGCGATTCCGGCATTTGAGGGTCTATTCCCAGACTCGCATGATGAAGTTGTCCGTGTACTCCTCTTTCGTCTGGCTGAATGGCACGCCATTGCAAAGCTTCGATTGCACACAGACGACTCTCTTGACCTACTCGGTCAAGCTCTTAGACATCTAGGACAGCAGCTTCGAAAATTTCGGGACTCCACTTGCTCGGTCTTTCACACTGTGGAGCTCCCAGAGGAAATAGCTTCCCGTCAGAGGAAGAGTGCTAATCTCAACTCGACGTCTGTAGGAACAGGGTCATCTGGGGCGCGTCCCAAGGCCTTCAATATTCGAACTTATAAGTTACACGCACTTGGTGACTATGTAAGCTCTATCAAAATGTTCGGAACCACAGACTCGTACACTACTCAAATAGTATGTGCGCGTTCTTTGTGGAATGACAAGTAAACAACTTGATTTTTTGAATTTCTAGGGCGAGGTCGCACACAAGCTCTTGAAAATGTTTTACCGGAATACGAATAAACAAGAACCTTCAAAGCAATTAGCTAAGCAAGAAAGGAGACGCACTCGTATCAGACGTATGCAAGAATCTGGCAACACCAGCAACAACCAACCTGCCGGAAACTCACTACCGCCAGAAGCGCACCATTGTTTATCAAGTTATCCAGGCATTACCATCAATTTAGCTTCTTATCTTGAGCAGCATCGAGGTGACCCAGCTGTTGCGGTAAATATGTTCTTGTGCGACTGTTCTGACACATTTAATGATACTACCTGACAGGACTTCATTCCGAAAATGAAAGGTCATATCCTTTCCCGGTTGCTAGGTTTAGAATACGATGGTGATGAACGAGACTTCACGGATGCCGAGCGAAATGACTTGCGCTTTATCAACAATCTGAACACTGTTTTCCGACCTAAACGCTTCCAAATTAACTATACAACGTACGATATCCATAGGGATCAAGACACGCTCAAACCTGGACATGGCTCTACGGTGATGGTGTTGTCGCGAGAAAGCAGTGCGGGCGCGCATCCTTTTTGGTATGCACGGGTATTGGGCGCGTTTTGTATTAATGTTCTTCATGTTTGTTAAGAACGTGCTCAAGGGTCGGATCCGAAGGGCTTGGCTTCAGCTCGTGCGCTGCGCCCCTTACCCGAGTACGTGCCCCTAACTTCCGAGGGTTGTTGAACGATGTCCGAAGGTTACCGGACGATGTCCGGAGGGCGTCGGGCGATGTCCGGAGTCCGATGTCCGATGCGCGGGAATTCCGGCGGACGTTCGGAAA